AAAATCGATTTTTAATCGATTTTTTGATTATTTTTTTTTTACATGGGAGTGTTGTCAATCTAGTGAATGTATGTACCACGGCGAAAGAATGCATTGAATGGCTTAATGAAAATAAGGAGGAGACATCATTCGTTATCTCCTCTGGTGCACTTGGCCAATATCTTGTACCACATATTCATGAAATGTCAAAGCTTGATACTATATATATCTTCTTTCGCAACAAACAACTTCATAAAGAATGGGCCGAAAATTGGACAAAAATTAAAGGTGTCCACAAATCTATCAAGTCCATATGCCACGCTTTGCAAGTGACTGTTACACAATGCAATCAAAACAATACAGTAATCAGTATTATGAGTGCCACTAAAACAGGTTCTAGCAAAAATCTCAATCAGCTAGAACCGACATTCATGCATTCACAGATATTCAAGGAAATTCTCCTTGATATGGAACATGGCCAAAAAGCCATTCAAGATTTGGTCACATATTGCCAAGAAGTTTACAGCGGTAACGTTACTGAAATGCAAATCATCGATGAATTTCAATGTACTTATCAAGCATCAAATGCTATTTAGTGGTATACACGCGAGTGTTTTACATATAAAAAGCTTAGTGCGGCATTGCAAACACTCAATGGCGATATTATCATTCGAATGGACTTCTTCCTGTGTGATGTACATCGACAAATCGAAAAGTTACACAAAAACCAGGTCAGTCAATATCATGGACAAGCTTTTCAAGTTTATCGCGGGCAAGGATTATCGACAGGCGACTTCAACAAACTCACGAAAAACAAAGATGGCCTTATTTCTTTTAATAACTTTTTATCCACCAGGGTGTGGGTGTGGGTGTAGATGAAGAGAAGATTCATACCCACACTCACACCTCTGGACCCATCACAGACCGTGACAGAGAACCTGTGGACCCATCACAGACCGTGGCAGATAGGGTTCTGGACCCATCGCAGACCACGACAGACAGGGTTCTGGACCCATCACAGACCGTGACAGACAGACTTTAGATCCATCACAGACCGTGATAGACAGGCTTTGGACCCATCAAAGACTGTGACAGACAGATCTTTGAACTCATGATAGACCGCGATAGACAGGATTCTGAACCCATCATAGGCTGTGACAGGCAAGACTCAAGGATTATTATAGACTGTGATAGAGGACTTTAAGGAAATATCAGATATGATGCATAACTAACATCTGGTTGAAGTATATAGGGTGTCCAGTAATTCACTAGAGTTGGAGAAAAAAATTTGAATATTTTCATGAATCTTCAACCAAATGAGCTGAATTTTTTTTGGAAGGTAGAGGACACGTAGCAGTTTTTATTCATAACAGAACAGGTCGTTTATGCGGATGAACTCAGCACGTTTTTCTTAAACAGAAGGCCAGTCAGCTATGATGAGGACTTGCTTATTATTCAAAGTAGTTCTACTATTGTGTTTTCGTGCGTAAATCAGATCAGTTGTTAAGTTTGACCGTTATCTCACTTTTTGTTTCGTTTTGAGTCATATAGCTGATACAGAAGTATCGATACGTGCATCATTCATGTAAGTCAAAGCACGCATATTCAGAGATAAAGAAAAGAAAAGACGAAAAACAATGGTACGAAAGATAATCCACGTGGTGATACTGTACGTAGTTTTAGTTATATCACTTACGATTCTTTAATATGTATGCAACTCGTACCACTGATAAGAAAGTCGCAATTGTACGACTTTTTTCAAAGTTTGAAAATGCAACTGACGTACAAAGAGTATGGACCAATTATTTTGATACAACTTCACCTCATCTGACCACAATTTCGTCAATCAATAAAAAGTTTGATGAATTTGGAACAATTGAAAATCTACCGCACATTGGTCGACCGTCAAGTGTACTCTCTGAAGAAAAACTAGACGAAATTGAAGAAAGAGCCACTAGCAATCCACAATTGTCTATTCGTTTAGGTGCTGATCGAGCTGGTATAAGCAAAAGCAGTTACCATGTGGCAATGAAACAACTTGGCTTTAAACCTTACCGTCCTACCTTAGTGATCGACCTTAATGATGATGATTTCGATCGTCGTAGCGAGTTTTGCGAATCATGGATCGAGAAATTCGAAGAAGATCCCAATCTAATCGACAGTATATTTTGGAGCGATGAAGCCAAATTTAATATGAATACAAGCGTCAATCGACATAATTGCACTTACTGGGCCAGAGAAAATCCACACTTCAAGTTTGAAATGCCAAATACGCAACAAGGAATTATGGTTTGGTGCGGAATAAGTTCTAATGGACTCGTTGGTCCATATTTTTTCAATGATACCGTTACTGGTCCATCGTACAAAGAAATGCTGGTTAATTATGCATGGCCTCGGTTGAAGAACAAAAACTTTTACTTTCAACATGATGGAGCAGGAGCTCATTATTCTGTTACTGTTCGAGAATGGCTGGATAAAAAATTTCCAGATCGATGGATAGGTAGACGTGGTCCATTCGACTGGCCAGCTCGTTCACCAGATTTAAGTCCCTGTGACTTCTTTCTTTGGGGCTATTTGAAGGACATTGTGTTCAAAGAGCCAGTCGCTTCTATTACAGAACTTCAAGAAAGAATTGAACAAGCTTGTGAAGAGATACCCGAAGAAATGTGTCGCAAAGCATGTCGCTCTGTTGTGCAACGTCTTCGTGACTGCTTGAACAACGAAGGACAGTTTCTTTCATACTAATAATATCGCATTGTATGTCAACTATGTTTCCTAATAAATAAAGAAAAGATTATCGTACAGTATTGCATCATAACTATGAACAACAAATGTTTGTGCCTAGCTTATTTACATAGCGAAGAAAAGTGTGCTGAGTTCATCCGCATAAACGACCTGTTCTGTTATGAATAAAAACTGCTACGTGTCCTCTACCTTCCAAAAAAAATTCAGCTCATTTGGTTGAAGATTCATGAAAATATTCAAATTTTTTTCTCCAACTCTAGTGAATTACTGGACACCCTATATATGGAGTATTATACTGTTGAAATTATATGATGTAAGGTAAGCCATAATGAAGAAATATACATCAGTATGCATAAAAAAACAACAGCTTTTAGGATATCGGCTATAGCAGCTACATCGTGTTTCACATGTTTAATCCCGCAAGGGATTGCGCTAACAGCTTTTTTTCATGACTTAATGGAAAATAAAAAATAAAAAAAACAATGCTTATTTGCTTAGTCAATTAATCAAAAAAAAATAGAATTAATTTCTTTTTCACATACTTCTACAAACACAACTACCTGCTTTCGTATTTTTGATACAGTTTATTCATCCAAAACTTCATGTGTCAAAACTTCTCTTACAATAAAAAACACTTGGTTTCCATTCCTACGACTACACATGTCATGCAAACTCATCTTGTAGCCTTTACAATTCAATCAAGAAAGAATGTTGCTCTGGCAAGACGATGTTGTCATCAACCCGCACGTTTTCCTCATTGCAACATGTATTTGATAAGACTTGATTAGTTACCTCTTGGTAAGTTGTAGTAAGCAACTTTTCTCTTCCATATGTAGAGCACATCATCTCCTTTGTCTTTACACATTGCATTCTTGCGTTCTGTATTTTGCTTTCATTGAGCAAACATATACTTCGAGTAGGTCCCTCCTTTATATATTTCAGGATTTTCTTCTCGTTGTGGTGAGAAACTCTATTTGTAAGTTGCCCTTTCTGAACCAAGCCCTTTTATATGATATATGTAAAGACAAAGGAGATGTCGTGCTCCATAGACACTCGTGAACAGTTGCTTATTACAACTTTTACCAAGAGGTAACTAATCAAGTCTTATCAAATACATGTTGCAATGACGAAAACATGCGGGTTGATGGCAACATCGACCTGTCAGAGCAACACATTTATTAACAAACAAATGGAAATAATGTTGTAAAAGACTATTACAATATGGAAAAAGTGATGATTCATTCGTTGAGGTTTAATTAATATGATACAACTTAGATGATGAAGCTGAGAAATAAAGATGGCGAAGTATAGTAGAAAAGGATTACAAGTCTAGGTATTTGTATTGTAGTATAAGACTACTTTGAACTTTTATGCCATCGTTTCATTAAGAATTTCGTTGTTGAATAAACTTCTTCATACGATTCTGATAAGCAAATTTATTTTTTTCATATTGTTTGAAAAAGCTAATAGTGCGAATAATATACATGGAAACACTTTGCTTCAAAGTAATGTCTTCAACAATTTGTAGAAGGATAGCTAACACAGTCAAACGAATAAAAGCTGCATGTGAATAAATTATTTTATTTTATCAGTGTTTGAAATCAAAGAAATTTCTTTTATTGACAATAATCGTATTATGAGAGTTCTGCAAGATAAAAACCTAGAATATTTCATAAAAATGAAATATCTGTACATCTTCACTTTGTAATCTATCGATATGATGTGAATCTACGTATTTTATATAGGAGCATCTGGAAAATAAATGTTAGAAGATATTTTTGGAAATTGAGATAATTATGTATTCCGCTTAATAGTGATTATTTCGTTTATATGAATTTCCCCTGATGACAAAAGTAATTTGTAGGACCTTCCGTAAAATCTTCATAAGATATGACCGGCTCAATATTTTCGTCAAAAATTTTTCACAGATGTTCTTAGAAGTCTCGCCTCTTTAACATATCGTAAAATGAGCTCGATCTGACAATCTTGATTGAGCAGGTTCGGTCGAGACTTACGTAGAA